AGCTCGAACCAATCACAAACTTAATGTAGCAGCAGAAGCTTCTACTAAAAATAGAAGCCACAAGAAAATACATAAAGAAACAATTCTATGAAGCAGCAATGCCAATTATTTGGTTCACAAAGGGACTACAAACTGTGCCAAAATATTTATATACAGCAAAAATAAATAAAAATCTCTCAGAACAGTCCACAAAGCTTCAGAATTTGAAACTCCTTCCATAACATATATGAATATGTGAAATAGTTGTAGAATTAAGAGGTATCCATTAGGAACAGCATCAAATACAACGAATAATCACTGGACTAGTATTGACCCTACCAAAATCGCCCAAAAGCCACCAGCTTAACTAGGAACACCTGGAAGATTTAATCCTATTAAAAACTAACTAAATTATGTTTCCTGGTTCCTATTGACGTACTGTAGCTCAATAAAACATTATTCTAAACTTCTCAAGGCTACACAATTTGCAGCTCCTTCCTTAACATGTTCAAAACATGTAAAATAGCTGTCAAATCAGAGGTATCTACTAGGGACAGCATCAAATAATAAATAATAATTACTGGACTAGCAGCTTAACTTGGATCACCTGAAAGACCTAATCCTATTAAAGTTATTCTAAACTTCTCAAGGCTTAAGAATCTGCAACTCCCTCCACACCATATTAGAAACAAGTAAATTAGCTGTCAAATCAGAGGTGTCTACCAGAAACTGCATCAAATTACAAATGCTAATCACTGGACTACTATTAAACCTACCAAAATCGTCTCTAGAGACCAACAGCCTAACTTGAATCACCTGAAAGACCTAATCTTATTAAAAACTAAAATTATGTTTCCTTGCTCCTACATTAACGTATTGTAGATCAACAAAAAGTTATTTTAAACTTCTCAAGGCTTCAGAATCTGCAACTCCTTCCACTCCATGTAAAATTGCTGTCAAATCAGAGGAATCTACTAGGGACCATATCAAATTACAAAGATTAATCACTGCACTAGTATTGACCCTACCAAAACCGTTCAGATACCGGCATCCTTACTTGGAGGACCTAACCCTAATAAAAACTAGTTACATAATGTTTCCTTGTTCCTATTGACACTAAAAAAAGGTTATTCTAAACTTCTTAAGGCTTCTGAATTTGCAACTTCTTCCACAACATGTTAGAAACATGTAAAGTAGCTGTCATCAGAGGTATCTACTAAGGACAGCATCAAATTACAAAGATTCCTTACTGGACTAGTTTCAACTCTACCAAAACCGTCTAGAAACCAGCAGCTTAACGTGGATCACCTGGAATACCTAATCGCATTTAAAAAGTAGTTGAATAATGTTTCCTAGCTTTTATCGACTTATTGTAGATCAAAAACGTAGTTCTATACTTCTCAAGGCTTCAAAATTTGTAGCTCCTCCCACAACATGTTAGAAACATGTAAAATAGCTGTCAAATCAGAGTTGTCTACTAGAGACTGTATCAAATTACTAAACCAGAGTAGCATTGAGCCTACCAAAACCGTCTAGCCTACCTTGGATCACCTGAAAGACCTAATCCTATTAAAAATTAGTTTCAAAATGTTTCCTTGTTCCTATTAACATATTGTAGATCAACAAAAACCTTTCAAGGCTTCAGAATTTGTCGCTTCTTCCATAACATATTAGAAACATGTTAAATAGATATCAAATCAAAACTATCTACTAGGGACAGCATTAAATTAGAAAATTAATTACTGGATAGTAATGACCCTACCAAAAATTATCCAACTTTAAACAACTGGAAGAATAAAAGCCAGTATTTTCACTTCACAGAAAACTTAAAAGTAGCTACTAGCTGATTATGCTATAAGTTATAGTCTTTTACTCAGAGGTAAAAATATTCGTCCCTAACCCTACTAAAAACCAGCTAAAGATTATTTTTTACTCTTATTGACATATTACAGATCAGGATAAACTATTTAGAGAAGTGTACATAGCCTCAAGGCTTCAAAATTTGCAGCAGCTCCTTCCACAACATGCAAAATTATAAGTATCTATTAGGGACAGCATCAAATACAATGAATAATTACTGGACTAATATTGATCCTACCAAAACTGTCCAGACACCAGCAGCTCAACTTGGGATCACCTGAAAGACTTAACCCTATTATAAACTATCTAAATAATGATTAATTGCTCCTATTGATATTTTATAGGTTAGGAAAAGATTGTTCTAAACCTCTCAATGCTTCAGAATTTGCAGCTACTTTCACATCTTATTAGAAACCTGTCAAATAGTTATCAAATCAGAGTTATTCAGAAACAGCATCAAAGTATAACGACAAAATCACTGGAATAGTATTGACCCTACCAAAACCGTTGAGAGAACAGCAGTTTAACAGTTTAACCGAATCCTATTAAAAACTAGTTAAATAATGTTTTCTAGCTTCTATTGATGTATTGCTGATCAAGAAAAAGTTATTCTTAAGGCTTCATAATTTGTAGCTCTTTCCACAACATATTACAAACATGTTAAATAGCTATCAAATCAGAGGTATCCACTAGGGACAGCTTCAAACTACAAATATTATTCACTGGACTAGTATCGACCCTACCAAAATTGTTTAGAGGCCAGCAGCTTAACTTGAATCACCTGAAAGACCTAATCCTAACAAAGCTAGTTAAATAATGTTTCCTTGCTTCTATTAACATATTGTAGATCAACAAAAAGTTATTCTAATCTCCTCAAGGCTTCAGAATCTGCAACTCCTTCCACACCATGTTAGAACATGTAAAATAGATGTCAAATCAGAAGTATCTACTAGGGACAGCATTAAATTACAAACATTAATCACTGGACTAGTATATAAATAGTAAATAAGATCAGCAGCTTAACTTATGACAATTGGAAGATTTAGAGCCAGTTTTTCACATCTGGGAAAGGTTTTAAAGTAACTATTTACTAATTATGCTTTAAGTTAGAGTTTATTTTTACCTAGAGGTTAAACAATCTGCCTCTAACCCTATTACAGAGTAGCTAAAAAATGTTTTCTTTCTCCTAATCACATGTTATAAGATCAGGATAATAGAGGAATTTTTAAATGACTGGGATACAAAGGATAGTGAAGATAACAAATAACATCAGGGTGGTACTGGAAACATATTATCCCAAAATAGTTAATTTGGGAATTTATGGATGTTAATAGAGATATGACTACACTATCCTTTGGGAATTCTGAGACCGATTTTTTGCTCTAAAAATTCAATGTTCTCACAGTACCAAACAGTTATTCTTCGTTTTAAACAGAAACCAAAAAAAAATACATTTTGAAAAAAGTAGTTTTAAAATCAAACTTTTGGCGCCTACTGTAGACAAGTAAAAAAAATATTAAAATCAAAATGAAATCTAGACAAAAATCTACTCAAATTTGAATAATTTTAAGACGTACCCTAAAGGCGAAGCTTAAGCTAAAATTAAAATAATTTAAACAAATACAAAATTTGATAAAATTTTGAATTTTCTACTTAATCGGAAATCGTCACAAAAAAAAATCAGTCCATACAGAATGGTACCAGTAAAAATCGTTAGGTTCCTTGAAAACTAATCATTTTGAAGTGCTAGCTTACTGGATACCATTTTTTTAAATTTGCATATCTTTATTCCTTTAAAAAGAAAAAAAACTAAACTATGAAGTTTTGAGCCTTTAAAAAATATGAAAGTTTGGAAAATAACTAAAATCAAAATTACCTAGAAATTACTTAATTTTAATATCCTACTAGTTAAATTAAGGATTAAGTGCAACTTAAAAAACAAATTGGACTATTTTATAACTATTTAAGATTTAAGATTTATAAAAAAATGAGTCAAATTGTAATACGAAGGTTTAACTTAAGGTTAAATCTATAATAATGGCGGTTACACAAAAAGTTTTTAGCAGCAACAATTCACTGATATCAATAAAAAAACAGAAGCTTGTAAAATACGCAGAAACAATCTATACACAGCAACATCAATTGTAAATTTCAAAAAAACATTACACATCTTTATAAAATAATTAAAAATCGGTCTCAAAATATCGTCATAAAAACCTCAACATATGTTCAGCAAACTCTTCACAAATATCTTCAAGAAAAGCCTCATTACCTCACGATTTGACCTCCCAATTACATTTACTCAAAACAATAAATACAATCTGTCTGGGTTTTCCCCAGACTATAAAACAATGAACTTTAAAAAGTAGAAAGGTATCTATGTCTTTCTTGTTGCGACACCGTATCTTTTAGTCTAAACTCAAAAGAAATTAATGGCGTTACAAAAAAATACGCAGGAATACCAACTGTACTTCTTTTTGACTTTTGGCTACAAACGCATTAAAAGTCACTCATTTTTAAACTTTATTATGTAAAAGTTTTATGAAATGAAGAATAGAAATTCCATCAAAGAGTTTTGGACAATGTATTCCAAATGAAGTAGAGTATTGTACATATTTAGTGTCTAGGGTGCAGTTTTATGCATAAGTAAAATACCAAAAAATACATCTTATGACCTGTAGAAGTTATGAAGCTGTTCTACAAGCATATTCTGTCTTCATTACCGAAAAGATTGAACCAAGGAGTCTGGTGATAAAGATGAATGAAGTTAAAAGTGAATAAGATTAACTTATATGCTCTTTAAGATTCAAAAAGTAGTATAATTGATATTCTTCAAGTCCCTTCACAATTTCAAATTCATTCAAGCAAAATTCAAACGTTTTACAATTGGTTTGTGGGCTACAGACACTAGGTGGCACAATATCAACTCTACAGTCCAACAAGAATCTTAGTTACGAATTTTAAGTTCTAAAACATTGATTATATCCCAGATTATAGTCCAAAAACTAGATTACAGACTATTAATTATGTATTTAGAAGACTATTTGCTAGTTTAACCCTACAAAATTATACAAAACGTCCACGCACCAGGCATTAAACAAGTTAGAACATGTACCTATTACCAGGTTCTACCAAACAAACAAACAAACATGGCTATTAAACTATCGGCTAAAACAACTAGCTTTACACTTGGTAGGATCCGTATGAATGCAGCAAAATCTGCAACAAGGTTTAGACGCAACGAATGTACCGTAAACCTTTTTAGGAGGCGGAGGGGGACAATCCAAGACATCAGCGCACCATAACCCGCAGGGATGACGATCCGAGGGGGGTATCAATCGCATTCTGCAAGGTTTGAATCCCGTAGGACAACCGTTATCGCAACAAGGCGGTTTAGGACACCTCGGGATACAGGGTAGTTTGCCGTCTAAACAGACGCCAATGCTGCACTTCATTGGGCATCTGGGGTCGTCGAAATTGGGGTCGAAGTTACAAGGGGAGTCGGCTCTCCAATCGACGTTGTAAGCATTGTAGAAGTTCGAGAATCTGACTAGGTCGGCTTCGTGGTCTGACATGCGGCGCTGAAAAAAATTAATGATTGGTTTTTATGGTTATGTATAAATTAATATCAAATATTTGATGACGGCTTCAAAACAAATATAAATGAAAAGTTGGGGTGGTAGGTTCATGTATATCTATGTTTATTGAATGGGAATTTTAAATATTTACCTCAGGAGGATCCTGACAAGGCAATCTTAAGGGTTTTACAGGTTCTGGTTGGGTTGGAGCACATATCGGTGGTGGACGAACATGACAGCACATGACATGCGGTGGTGATAAGGGAGATGGACAAAAGGGAGGACATACTGGAGGTGCTGGGGGGCATCTTAAAGAAATAAAATAATAAATTCAATTGAATGATTAAAGTATAATATCAGTGGTTACACGTTGGACTGGGGTTGCCAAACATTCTGATTTAGGCGTAATTGTCACGCTTTTTAACTTGGTGGCACGCGTCACGACAAAGTACGAAAATTCCCGCTTTACACCATTTTTTTACTGAAATTTCACGCTTTTTACTCAAATGCCACGCTAAATAAAGAAATTTTTAAAGAGGAATACCTTTTTTGAGGAGCTTCTCTAAAAGTAGATCTGCTTTGTATGAAAATATAAGCGGAAGACTCCAGAAAAAAAGGACCTAATTAAAATACCTGTTTTTTTAATATCCGATGTCCCACTTTTTCTTTTTGTAAATCTGGCAACCCCGGTGCCTATAAACGTAACGGACACGAATATCGAAAAAAAATTTGAGCTAGAAAATAGTATTAAGTGTATGTATGAAATAAACAAAAAATTTGCGGATTACGCATAAATAACAGAGAAATTTGAGTTAAAACATGCGAATTTTGGTGATTCTAACCTAAGATTTTATTTTTATGTAAGGTATATGCATGGTTGTCAAACGTTTCAATTTATAACAAAATCTAGTTTAATAATTGACAGAATCGATTAGATACTTTTTTGAATCGAATATATACTGAAACATGAAAGGATAATTATTGGGAATATATATTTTGCTTAGGACAGATTCCACCGTTGTGTTAAACGAAGTTTAAAATTACATTTTTACATTAACAATGTCATTTTAATCTCCGTTTAACACAACGGTGGAATCGGCCCTTAATAATCCCAATTTTTTTATACCTACATTTTAGGCATTAGGAAAAATAGTACTTTTCAAGTATGCCACCGGAAACCTCACTAAGTACCTTATTTTTGGCGTAACATTTCCAAACACTTTAAAAATCACTACTTTTAATTTACTTCGTTGCTTTTCCTAAAAAAAAACTTTCACAATTTTTTTTATCCATTTTCATTTAATTGTACATATTAATAACTAAATATTACTATTACTTCATCTATAAAGTAATAAGCAACAATTATTTTGGGTTATTCAAAAGTTTTTAAACTTTCAAACAAGAGAATTAATTAGTCTGAAAAATGAATTGTCAACCAAAGTCAATGACTATATCCAACTAAAGAGGATAGCCGAACTCATTTAATTTCTACTGAAATCTTTTAGCCGTCCATTTAAAACATACATCAATATACACCTTATTTTTAAATTACGTTTTATTTTATTTATTTTTAAAATAAAAGATATTTCAGATATTCAAAAGATAATTTTACCAGAGAGAAAATTTAACTCATCTGAAAACTAGAAGTAAATAAATAGGTAAATTGAAGGTAATAAATTTAAATACTATGGCCATGTTTTCTAAGCATCTTTTTAATAAACTCATAGTTAAGAAATTTGACATGTTAAAGTCAAAATTTATATACAGAGTGAACAAAAAGTAACTTATTAATATGTACATTCCTGAAAGTTTACAAAAAAAGTTTTGATGAAAGTTTCATGAAATAAATCAGGTTAATAAGAAATACGCCTTCGTGCTTAATAAGAAATATACTGGGTTGACCAATATTCATAAATTACAAAAGAATATTTTTTAAATAGTTTTTCGTACTAAATTAAATTTAAAATAAAACTATTAAAACAACATTATGCTAACTTTATTATCCATTAGCCATCCATTCGTTATTTTGGAGGAAGGAAGAACGCGCCCGGCTGACGTTTTTACACCTACACCGTAAGAGTCAACTAGGTTTATCCCACCAACGGTCTTATCACTAGAAAAAGGATTGAGCGAAGCAAGCTGGCACGGCCGAGAGCGCTAGCTCTTTTCTGTAGCAGTTAGGACGTGGCCGAGACGAGCGTAGAGTGCTCTTGTGGTGTAAATATAAAAAGGACAAGCGTGAATTTCAAAACGTCAAAACGTCTCTTCCAAGGTAGTTGAGATGTAGAAAGACGGGCGTGTTTTTTGTGTCAGATAACTTTTTTATTATTTGAATTCTAATATATTTAAAAAAAGCTTTTTGTATAAAATTTTTATGAAACAAATCAAGTTATATCGGTATAAGTTAGTTAGAAATATACTAGGCGTACTATTACTCCAAAATAACGCAAGAATATTTTTTAATAGTACACCCTGTATTCGAGATAATACAGTTAGGACAATGCAGTTTTAATGATTTTATTTTAAATTTAATACAGTACGGAAAAATATATTCTTGCTTGATTTTGGAATATTACTTAAATAATTTCATAAAAATTTTATTCAAAACTTTTTTGTGAACCTATCAGAAATTTAATTTTAGTAAGTTCCATTAACTTTTGTACACTTTGTATATAAATTTCGACTTCTAACTATATTATAATTAGTATGTCAAATTTCTCAAATATTTGTTATTTGAGAAATATTTTTGAATAACATGGCGGCAATATTCAAATTTATTATCTATTTTACTTACTCCATTAATTTTGGAAGATTTATAATTTTTTCTTTGGTTAAAATGATGTTTTGAATATCTGAAATACCTTTTAGTTTAAAAATAAATAGTATAAGAAAGATGTATTGTATCGATGTATATTTTAAATGACTTCTGGTGAGCCCTTGAAAGCATCCAGGGATGTCGTCACGTCACGGCTGACTCAACAGAAATTTAGTGAATTCAGCTATCCTCTTTAATTGTTGAAGGCGTTGGTTGACAATGCATAATAAGATAATAAATTTCATATTTCAAAAAAAAGTTTAAAAACTTTTGGATTACACAAAGTTTTCGAAAAGTATTTTAGAGATGATGTAATATTAATATTTAGTCAATATGTTCTACAATTCAATCAAAATGAATGTGTAAATCGCTGGATATGGCTGAATATTAAAAGTAAAAGAGGCACTTAAAAAATTGGCATCGTGACTATAGATAATAGAGGTTTTTTAAGAAAATTGAGGTTATATAAAAAAATGGTTTATTTTCTGATTAATACACAATATTTTTATATTAACTTCGCTTCTTTTGGTTTTTCCGTAGTTAAATTGATCAAAAATAGTAAGTAGTATCATTTTCATTAATAATATAGCAAAAATAGTGAAAATTATTGTGTCCGTATTGTTTACAGTCACCGGCAACCCTATACTAGACGTATATTGTTTTTAGAGTCCAGGTTCGAACCCTAGAATGAATCACAGAGTTATTTTCAGTAGAGCCAAGGAGGTAAGCAACATAGCACAAATTGTGTAGCTGCCACTATAGAATTTGGAAAAAGATATATGACAAGATGAAGAACCTTATAAATTATATTCGTGATACGTCTATGCTGTATTAAATAATGTTGATGTCACTTTTAATTCTATCATTTATTGCTCTACTAGTTTTATTTTCAATAAAAGCTAGATATTCTTAATTAGTATTTTGGCCAATACACCTTCTTTACAGCCAAACGAGGAAATCCCGTTACATTTTCGCCCTGTACAAACATTCTAGTTAATAGTAGAAATAATAAAACCTCAAGAAACGCATGTGTTGATTTTGTAGAAAGCAAAGCAATGAAGCTGCTGGCCCAGGAACAATCTATGCTCCATCTATCCACATTGTACTTTCCCCCCAATCATTGAAATAATGAAACCTCGTGAAACTCCTTATGTATTGATCTTGTAGCGCAAAGCAATGAAGCTGCTGGACCAGGAACAATGTATGTTCCACATTGTACTTACCCCTCAATGCTGCAAATCAAATTCTTGAGCGAGTCCGCTAGAGGTCCGTCACAAGCCATTGTACACACACAATTTGGACTAGCACAAACAAATAAAAATACTTAAATTTTGAACTATATTATTTGCGAAGGATTTTTCACACCGTAGATTTGTTTACAAATAATTTTTTCTTTTTTTTATGGTTTCCTAGGAGATTTGTTCCAATTTTGACTTTGAGATTAAGGTGGATCATGCTTGAAGATAAGATGTTACTTGGTTGAATATCTAGAGATAAGAGTCCACAAGAAATATAATATGAAGAAGAATATTGATAATTAAAAGTCAATTTTAAAAAACTTTTTGGCAACTACAGTCCAAATTCCAGATATAAATTTCACAGATTTATTAGTAAAGAAGTAAATTAGTTATACAAAATTTCAGTTTTCGGTAAGTTAATTTTCCAAAACTACAGACTCTTCAGTTCTTATTTTGCTATTTTCTTCTTTATTTATATTAAAACTTACATGGTACATGCTTCAGTCTAACATTATACATTCATCAAATTTGTAAGTTTGACAATTTCTTTCCAATACTTCTCTTGTAATAAGATCGTATCCTGAAACCATTTTTTATTGTTGTTAAATTTTTTTGGGGAGTTTTATCTCTTCTTTATCTCTTCTATTGATGTTTCCTCTAGATCATTCTCTACGCTTGATTCATTAAGTTAAAAGATTCACTTCTTGTTTGCTGCCTTTGGCTCTTCCTCCTTCTCCTCTTCATTGAATCTAATAAACATTTTTACTTATAGTAAAAGATCCCAACATGGCTTGCTGTCCGCCAAATTGCTCTCCTTGCTGCGCAGGTCCCCCTTCTGTTCCTTTCTGCCCGCCACCATGTTCTCCTTGCTACGCGGGCCCCAATTTCATGCCACCTTGTGCTCCGTGTTGGACAGGAGCCAGTCAAGCCACGTGGATGCCCACGTGTTATCCAATTAACGCTTCATGCTTTTGCTGCCCCCCTGCACCACCTCCAAAGCCTAAATGTGGACCCAACGGACCAAGAGTAAGTACATTTTTATTTCAATTGAAAATGTGGGACAGTAATCTAGTTATTAAGTATTTTGAAGTTTAAAAATATTATATAAACAGTTGTCTGCATGAAGGTATGGTATTTCTACCTCTTGATTGAGCCAGATAGTCAAAACAGAGATGATAGGTCCAACACTGCCAAAAAGTGTTAATTTTATTATACCTTTATACAGACAGCTCATAAACTCTACAAAATTAGAGTTTGCAAATCCGTAACTACAGATTTAACTGTAGTTGTACCTACTGTCTACATATTTGCCAGTTACCTCAGTCCTACAAGAAACAGACCTAACGCTCTTTGTTTTTAGAGTTTAAGATAGAAGAATTACCCATCTACGTAATCAAGAGAAAAGTGCCAAGATGAAAACCAGATAAATAGACTTGAACGTCGCTGATTATACAGATCAATGTTATATATTTATTTATTTTAATGATTCCTATTGTTTTTTTCCAATATTTTTATGCCGAAAAATAAAATGACAAATATATTTTGGTTTTTTATTAACTTTTGTTACATATTTATTAAAAATAAACACTTAGCACAGCTGTTACCAAAAGGTTTTGTTGTAGACTCCATTTTTTTCTAGGCTAGCAGGTCTAAAAAAAAAAAACATTTATTAAACTCATAAATGAATTGATTACATCGTATGTTTAACATCCTGTAGAAAGAGAAGATCCTCTATCTAGTCAAAATTCCGATTTAACTTAAGAGACCCTCCTTTAGTGAAGTGACTACCAATTATGATTGAAGATGTGTCTTATTACCCTTATATATCTGTTGCTGTATTTATGTTAATCACTATCAATTTTGTATCTATATATGTCATGAATTCTGCTTATTTAAAGCCTATTTTGACAAACACTAAAGGAAATTTACCTGACAAGGACATGCTCCGCAAGGACCACAAGGACCTGTGGGATAGATGCAGGGCACGAATACGTTGGGACAACTGGGGGGTAACAGGAACGGTTGAATTACTGTTGGTAAACAGAACTGGTTACAGCACGGTGGACATGGATTACAAGGTGGTACTGGACATCCTTTACACTTGCTACCACCGCCCATTTTATTTTGGTACAACGTTCACAACTAGAATTTGGAAATTTGGTAGAAATAATTTTGAGATTTGTATGTGGAAAATGTTTGTTTAAATGTTGCTAGAGGCGATTGACATTGTTATTGTTGACAGAATCGTGATACGGTATGATGCTTAGACTAAGTAATTACCTAAAGTATGTGCAGTTTACTGATCCAAATGAACTTATGCTGCCTCCATATTATTTTCATTTTGGTAACAATATTTTGATTAGTTGCCTGGCAATAGTGGCAACTATCAAAATTCAAGCTTTTAAAATTACTATAGGAACTGACAGATGTAAAAAAAATAACAAAATTTTAATGAAATTTTCGTAGACACTCCATTCATCGTTTCGGTCTTATTTTTTATTAAATTATTCGTTAATTTTTTCTGTCTGTAAACGTCTAAATTTTGTCTGTAAAAATGTGTAGGTAAGTACAATTTTTTCTATTAAAAAATTTACAGTATTTTAGCCATCTAATAGTTTATCTCATGGAGGCACTGTCTTACGGATAAAGAGGGTAAATTACTAATAGGTTAGGTTCTAATAAACAGAGAAAATATTGTTGGTAACTCTATTTCATTTTTACAAATAACAAATATTTGTTTTTATTTAGATATACATGCTAAGTATTATATGTTTCAGCCCTTGTGGACCATGCATCCCCCCACCGAACCCTGTTTTGTTTCCAGCCGCTATGTGTTGTATGGTTACACCCCCACCTATATGTCCCCCAACATACCCCCAACCTGTTCGACCCCTCATGATTCCTTGTCCTAAAAACTGTGCCCCGGTGAGTATAAAAAAATCAAAAGGTTATTACTAAATATTTGTTTAGAATTTTTCAAGTCATTCCTCTACAAAAAAAGATGATTTCAATTTTAAATATATTTGAAAAGAATACTATTTTTTTTTATTAGTTTTTATTACGCATTTAAAAGTTTTATTGTCCTATAACGAAGACAATTTTAGGCAATTTGAGTTCCCCATACGATTTTTTAGGACATTGGATAGTATTGCACAAGCTAGAATTAAATACGATTTAGGATATTATGTCATGACGATTTTACAAAATTGTTTTTATTAAAAATATTTTGAAATTCAAATACTTCAGAAGCAACAATAACACAAACCAAGAAGTGAATAAGTAAGAAAAGCACAGGCATACTATGCAGTATATTAACTTTGTCATCCTGACTTCAGTAGAACGATATAGAAACACATTACCATTGATTAGAGAGAAATAGAATAATACGCCACCGAAGGCGGTCCGCAAAATACATCCATTGAAAGGGCGTGGTTAAACCAATTGCTTTCTTTATGTATCTCACGTCCAATTATAATTAGTCGTCTCGTATTTATTTTGCCGGATGAGTCTGTTAACGTACTGTTTATTCTTTATCTGTGATACACTAAGGACACATAGTATACGCAGCCTGTTTCTAGACAGTTTCTTATTGGAATTTTAGTTGGAAATATTAAATATCCCTCTGAAACATTTGAATTATTAATATTTATTTTCAGTGGCCAGATTTGACAGAAGATCAAGAATACATACTCCGTTTTTCCAACTTTTACAACAACTACAACAAAGATTACCACACGATCAGTCCTTGTTCCAAACCGCCCAAATGCGTGCCCGGTATGGGCGTTTGCGGCCCCCCCAGGTACTGCACTGACGTAAAAAGGAAGAAGAATAGACCATTGGCGGAGGAGGCAGGTTGTCCGACAGGTTGGTATCTACGATTTTATGAGAATTAATAGCTGTGAATTTGCAGCTGCCTGATGATTGCTTATATATAATTTTATCTAGGTTTCAAACCGTGTTACATGAAAATGTTTCCCCCTGCTGATAACCATCCTTGCGGAGTTTGGTGCGCCGAAGTACAGCTGTGTCCCCAGAAGCCGAGACAACCGAAGTTCTACAATCCGGGGCCTTGCAAGAGGCCTTGCTGCAAGCACAGACCTAGCAGCGGTAGATGCATCTACGATTTGCCCTGTAAAGCGGCCTGCTTCCGGCATGTGCCTGGAATCCACCCTTGCAATCCTTGGCTGGACTAATCTAGTTCTTCCTGTAAAGAAGGAAAAGGTGCGTTGTGTATTTTAAGAGGTAGCAAAGAGGAAACTTGTTGGGAGATGATTTTTGTTTCAAGAAATGTTATTTTTTGTAGTGTGGAATAATGTAAAATCGTTTGAATAGTTTAGAAAAGCCATAGGCTGTTTGTGAATGACTTGATGATTTTTTAAATGCTATAAAAAATAAAATATTTTCAATAGTTTCTTTTTCTTTTTTCGTTTTAAATGTGGCGCTATAGGATCATCAGCATTGGTGGTTGGTAACCAAAATATTGCGGGTTCACAATTACATAAATCTCAATTGCGAGTAGGTAATTAGTTATTATTCTTATTCAAAACCTGAACAGAATTATTCTGTCACTGAAAAAGAATGTAAGTTGTAAAGGAAATAAAGCACATACTTTGATTACTATACGGTGCAAGAGAGAGGTCCGACACGCCCAACATAGGGCGCGGCCATTTTGATTCCTATGCCACCGTTTATAGCTAAATAATCAGATCGCTCCCTCTGCGTCGGCACTTTTGCTCTCAATGTTCCAGTTTATACACTGCGCAACTCGGATAATACAATATATGACAACCGCCTATAATAAAACAACAGTCTTCTGCGTATCCCTCAGAGTAAGTAAGTAGTAAAGAGAGGACACTAAACAATGTTTGTGTCGCCATGATAATATGGTCGAGAATTCTAATTAGAGAGAAATAGATTAATATCTCTATCTCTTTGTTTGTATTTGTCAGTTTTACATAGCTTTTCTCAGACAATTATTCCAGTTGTTTAATTTAAATTTGTTCGTGTTGTGGTGTTAAAAGTAATTGTTATTAATATTACATTCATGACAAAAAAGTCATATTTTGTTTTCACTTCATTAAAAATGGACCTACCTACCTTTTAAAACATTTTATTTTATATTCTATTTGGTCAACATTTTCGCATTTAAAATGACCCAACGAAATTGTTTTACGGTACGCTACTGCTGGGAATTCTAAAACGAGTGAGAAAACCTTCATTAGAAAGAGAGATACTGATTATATGATAGCGAGATTAATATTGTATAACTTTATGCAGTGGTGGCCTATCTGCTATTATATTATCTAAGGCGTATCCTGAATTTGTATCCCTGGAGTGGATGTTATTTTGGAACTTTCAACTGGTCCGAGTGAGCTAACTTATTCTTTAGCAATAAACTGTGACTCCAAAAATAATATTCACTGACACTGACAGCAGCAAGCAAAATATCAGGTGCGTTTTAATCATCCGCTTCTGCTTCCGGAATTGTCGGTTCAGTCGTTCTAACCTGTCAGATTAAAACAAGAAAACCGATAATTCCGAAGCAGAAGCGGATGATTAAAACGCACCTATTAAAAATATTGCGCCAAGATGTAGGCAACACGTAATAAGGGATCAAAATGGCGGAGTTTTCTATCTCCTTTTAAAAGGCACTCATAAAGCTGCGCAGTGCGACCATTCTCCGTATAGTAAAAGAAAATCAAAGTATGTGGTTTGCACAAACTTAAAAGGCCATGCAAACGATGTTTAATAGTGTATGGAATCATTTCTTGATTTTCTGGATGGGTCACTTTACTTTGCCACTTACTAGCCCGTAGACCACATACTTTGATTACTATACGGGGCAAGAGAGAGGTCCGACACGCCCAACATAGGGCGCGGCCATTTTGAACCCTATGACACAGTTTATCTGCAAGTTGAACGATGTAAACATTCCACTGTAGGATGTGAAGTGTCCTATCAACAATTTGTTCTCTCGGTCATCGTATTCGGTATTCTTGAATCATTCACATCTCATAGGTTTACAGAGCACCGCTGCCAAATTTAAGTTGTACATTAGAACTATTTTAGAAGGCACTTTACTTCAATTTTTTATTATTTTTTGACAATTGTAATAACAGATTATATTTTCTATTAAATCCCGTGCCAAAGGTTTAGTTAGACGAACATTTTTTGTAAATATTCCGTCACTAAAGTCAAAAAAATCCTCTTCTTTTAAAAAAATTATATTTGGTCGATTGGCATATTCTTCCGCTTCAGCTAGATCATTCAAAATATGAATATAAATAAGAGCTTCGTCCAAATCCATTTTAATTAAAAAAAGTGACGTTTTGATAGCGCACGACAATGACAGTTCTCCCAATGTTCTCCCATAGTTCTCCCGAAATGATGCTCTTCTACTGGTTCTGACTAAGAGAAGTATGTTCTCTCGATTTTCATGCGAAGTGATCATTCACTTCAATTCAAGAATACCACTCACACTTTTTAGGAGAACGGCTGTCCAGTTCGCATGAAATGATTCTCTCAACTGGAGAATAGGCCCCCAGGACCCTTTGGCTGGGGATTCTGCTGCTTTGATCCCATTATAGTATATTGATAAGTTGTTAAAATTGTCTTTTAGAAACAAACATTTCATATATAAAAAAAACACATTGTTTATTGCAAAATACATTTCGTCAAAAGTAAACAGCTTTTTTTAAATGCTTGTGAAAGATCTTTGTCAAATATCTTAATAACAAAATTAAACAAATATATAAGTAGGTTCTTTATTGTATTTACATTATATATTGTTGAAAATACACAACCAAAACATCTGTAAACAAATAAAATTCCTCATAACCTCATGTTCAGTTCATTATTGTCATAGCACATATATAACTTCAGTTTATCCATCTGTGTATCTTCTTATCTAAAATAAAAAAAAAAATGTTAATGTCAACAGACGAGAATTAAGACCAAAAATTGGAAAACATAATTGAGTGGTTCAGTTTTAGAGTTGCCTAAACAACAATTGAATAAATGTAGATATATTAAAGTTGGAAAAGAATTTAAAAAATAGTTACTTGTCAAATCAGTGTTTTAATTTTATCATAATGTTAACAATTTAAAGAAATATGCAATTTTGGCAGGAATAGATATTATTTTAAAATAACTTAGACCAAGTATTTGAAGTTTTGGTTAGGCAACTCCATTCGTGAAACAATCAATTTAAAGATGGTTTTACAAGGAACACCACCCATCCGCGTTGTCTTTAAATTATTCTATTAATTAAAATCAAAAAAACTTCATAGGTACCCCATTGTATAAAATTATTATTCACACTGATATATAACATATCAATATTAATAATAATATTCACTCACGTATTTTATCTTATTAAGGGCTGATTCCACCGTTGTGTTAAACGGAGATTAAAATGACATTGTTAATGTGGGATCGGTCCTAACTGAACTGAAATTATTGACAACACTATGAAAATGACAAGATAATAGATTCAGAACATCAAAATATTGATACTAAAGATAAATTGTCTGCAATTATTATATAAGATCTATAAAGATATGATCAATATTTACCGGTTATCAGCAATCAGCATGGGCCACACGGTCCGCAAGGTCCGCATGGTGCGCACGGTGAACAGCATGGGGTGCAGCAGGGGGCACATGGATATACGCATGGCACATAAACGCATGGTACACAGCATGGGAAACAACACGGTGCACAACATGGAGAACAGCAAGGTCCGCAAACTGGTGGGCAACAAGACATCTTATTACTGGATGTTTGGCTGGAAATTCAAAAAAATCACGTAGAATTTGGAGATGTGGATCGAAAAAGATTGTATGACAATTTTAACTGACTTGTTTTAACGTTTCCATGAACGATGTGATGAGCATTTGTTTGATGCTGTCCATGATACGAAAAATATTGCGCATCTGTCATATGTATCTTTCCCACATACACACATACTTTGATTACTATACGGTGCAAGAGAGAGGTCCGACACGCCCAACATAGAGCGCGGCCATTTTGAACCCTGTGACACAGTTTACAGCTAAAGAATCAGATCGCTCACTCTGCGTCGGCACTTTTGATCTCAATGTTTCACTGTGCAACTCGGTTAATACAATATATGACAACCGCCTATATTAAAACAGCAGTCTTCTCCGCATCCTGAATTTGTATCCCTGGAATGGATGTTATTTTGGAACTTTCAACTGGTCCGAATGAGCTAACTGATTCTTTAGCAATAAACTGTGACTCCAAAAATAATATTCTGTAACACTGACAGCAGCAAGCAAAATATTAAAAATATTGCGCCAAGATGTAGGCAACACGTAATAAGGCATCAAAATGGCGGAGTTTTCTATCTCCTAAGGCACTCAGAAAGCTGCGCAGTGCGACTATTCTCCGTATAGTAAGAGAAAATCAAAGTATGTGTCCGACACGCCCAACATAGGGCGCGGCCATTTTGATGCCTTTACCACAGTTTATAACTAAAGAATCAGTTCGCTCACTCTGCGTCGGCACTTTTGATCTCAATATTCCAGTTTATACACTGCGCAACTCGAATAATACAATATATGACAACCGCCTATATTCAAACAGCAGTCTTCTGCACATCCTGCATTTGTATACCTGGAGTGGATGTTATTTTGGAATATTCAACTGGTCCGAGTGAGCTAACTGATTCTTTAGCAATAAACTCTGCCTTTACTACTAGGTTAGGCAACACATACATAAAAATATTGCGCCAAGATGTAGGCAACACGCAATAAAGCATCAAAATGGCGGAGTTTTCTATCTCCTTTTAAAAGGTACTCAGAAAGCTGCGCAGTGCGACCATTCTCCGTATAGTAAGAGAAAATCATCAAAGTATGTGTTGTTGTATAATAAGTGAATACTGACAATCTGTACTTTGTTATCTGTTGTGAGCATGTGAGTGAGATTAATAATTTCTAGGTTAGATTAGGAACATAACTTTTATAAACCTTTTTAAATTGTCCGATTTGGACCGATTTGGTAAATTTTAAAAATGTTATTTCACAATGTTTTAAATTGTAACGATCTTTATATTATTGCAGATTATTAATAATTATATTTATTGCAAATATAATCCCAATGAGAAATGTAAGTCTAATTTGCTGTGTCTAGGGCTAAGGTACCTCATTGATTACATTTTCATAGAAATCGCTATAACTGTGTGCTGTCAAACTGACAGTAAATATTTTTAAAAATTAATAGTGAAGTTTACTCCAACTTTTTTTTAACAATTTCTAATATCTGCGTCTTTGCGAAACATCCAGAAAAATGCCACCTCCACA